GCAAATTGGTGTTTCATGTCTTTTTTTAAACCAATCTCTGATTTTTTCCCCCCTTTATTTAGAAGATTACGATAGCTGGAATTCAGATTAAAAAAAACCTGACATACTTTGCATGTAACTAAAACATTAGATCTTACAGTATACCATGTGCCACCAGGAAATAAAAATAAAGTGAATGTAATTTTGAACAACAGTTGGAAATGGCTTTTATTTTTCTTTTGTGTATCTCTGTGTCTGTAAAGAAGTCACACAGTTTCCCATCATTGGATAGTCTCCCATCTAGGTTTAACTTCATTAGCTCCCCCATTCCCCAATACTCCTTTTAAGTACATACACTTTTTGAATATTAAAGAGAAGATATTTCATAACTGTGTAACAATGAGAGATGCTTCTTGCCAAGCACCATGCATCAATACTCAGTGGCAAGGGGAAATGGCTTGCACGTTAGATGTAGATACAGTTACAGTTATTGATACAGCTCTCAGCTACAGAAGAAGCCCCAAAGCGACAATTTTTATATGGTAATCTCAAGAGATACATATCAACACATTAGTAGCCTGGCTATGGGTAATAAGATCTGTGAGAAAAATCTTTTCTCTTGAAGCCATGCTGTTCAGCAGATAGACACCAGTGTCTGCATCCCAACATTGTGGCGTGTGTTTTACCACTTGTCCTCTTGCCTCCCCTGTTATAAATCATTTTATCATGCCTGAATTGTATATAACTCCCTAAATGCCTGAATGTTGATGTCCAAGTCTGATCCTGCAGACAATTCCCACTGGTTCAAATGAATATGGCTACCAAAAACTAGTCCATCTATAAAATAGCTGATACTTGTCTTTGAACTGTAATCAGAATGCTTTTAGAGCAAGCCTATATTTCACTGTAACTAGTAACTACCATATCTATTCTTTTGAAAGGTCAGCTTCTGCTGCAGAATTTGGATCGGTGGCTAGGACATCTGTTTTAGCTTCATTTGTCTTGCCAGTGAATTATGTTTATATATGTTTACAAATTGTTTGTATAAGAAAAAAAATAAGAAAAACTCCAAGAGGAGAAAGATTGAGAAGCTCAAGTTTTTAAGGATAATTTTCCTTTTCTCATAGCATTGCAAGATCCGCTAAGAAATACACATACAAACAGTGAGCTCTGTGTTTATGACCTTCAATATTGATTAATAATTGATTAAACTTGTATGCCGCCTTACTCTCAATGACACTGATTCACAAAGGTCAAACAAAGAAATCAGAATAAAATAAATAAAGATTAAAAAAAAGATAGCAAGTGTGACAGAACTGATGGAATGAAGTGAAGGGTCTCATTGTCTCTCATTATGGTGTGGGTGAAGAGCCATATAGATCTTATAAATATATAAACCAGGGGTCCCCAAACTTGGCAACTTTAAGACTTGTGGACTTCA